CCGCCCCCAAAGGGGCGAACGACGCCAAGCTCTGCGCGCTCTACAAAGAGGCCGAGCTGCGCCTGAAGGGCAGCAGCAACACCACGGAGTGCGTTCCCGTGCCCACCTCCGAGCACGTGGCCGAGATCGTGGGCAGGCAAGGTAAGCGGGCGTCCGGACACTGCGAGGGTTGGAGTGGGGGCTTGCTGTCCCCGGCGCGGAAAGTTCATCGCTTCCTTCTTTGCGCGCCTCTGGCTCTGTCCCTTCCCGACAAAGGGGGCCCCGCCCCCTGCCCAGATTCCAAGTGCCACAAAGTTCCCTGTTACCCCTAGTCGGGACGGCTCCCGGGACCCTTCCTCCCCTGGGGCTCCGCCCGTAGACAAAGAAATATCCTGGAACTGGGAGAGGAAAGGGGAGGGGGAACTGCCTCCCAATCCCAGGGTCTATGCGGAGGGGGTGTCGGCTCCTGGCTGGAAGGACTGACGGAATGTGCAATTACTTGGGAGCCCCTACTCTGGTATCTGTGTGTAGACTGGGGAGGGGGCACTCCTGGGACCTTCTGCAGTTGAAGTTGGGGACTCTGAGGGAGACCTAGTCCATGAAGCCTGACTGAGGATCTGCCTCTTTGTTGGGCTGAGTGTAGGAATGAAAGGGGGTGTGGCCCAGGGGAGGGTCCCAGTCTGGGGAGAGGTGATGAGGGAGCCCTTGGCAAAGAGGGGTCCCGTGGTCGCTTACACACCGAAGTTGGAGGGCCCCTGTGTTTGGGGAGGGGGAATCTCTAAGGAGGTACTAGCCCTGGCGTGGGCCTCTCCTCCTCCGTCTTGCTTTTGTTCTGGGCTGGCCACGGCCTGGAGCCAGGGGTCTGCAGAGAAGTCTCTGAGTGAATGCATGGGACAGGGCAGGAAGGACATGTCGTTGAAGGGGGACAGAAATCTCCACTTGGAATATGGGGGGGGGTTGCGTGTCTGGGTGTGCTGGGAGGGGTATTGGATTAAGTCAGTGGAGTATGTTACCACACCCTCTCAGCCCAGCATCCCTGGATGGGTGGGAGTGTTGGTAAGTACCCAAATTGAGCAACCTGGATCTTGGGGGACCCTTCTCCTCCCAGTTTCTTGGGGGGGGCAGGATTTGGATATTGCAAAGGGGCTGGGCTGGGAGGTGGAGTGGGGGAGGAGCTGTCCCACAGTGGGGAACAATGGAGGGGCTGCATTCCGCGGGAGTAAAGGAGGAAGCCAGTTCCTGGCAGTGGAGGGGAGGCAGGCTGAGGCCCCTACCCCATATCCCACTTTATCCAGCCTAGTCTTGGGGTTGGAGGGTTTGGAATAGAGGGCTGAGTGGAGGGGGGGAGCTTGCCACTCCCCTGCACAGCGCCCCCTCCCTCAATCTCTTGGGGGTTTCTGGTTTAGAAAGTTGGATTTCCCCTTCTTGTCAAACACTGGGGATTCAGAGCCTAGAGTTGGGTGGGGATATTAATATCTTTACTTGAGTGAGGTCTTGGAAGGCACCAGAATTGAATGGGGTCCTTTAATTTGTCTCCTTAGCAAATGTGTCTATTCGTCATAAAAGTAGAATTTGTCCTAGTAGAATATTGTCAGAGAACATAAGCCCTCCCTTCCCCATTCTGTAAGTGTGTGGAAGGCCTCTCGCCTCCCTCCTGTTGCCGCCCGTGGGTTTAGTGTTTTCTGACTTTGGTCTCTACTTGTAAGGATGCTTCTTCGGGGTGGCAGAACCCAAGATGAACCCGCCGCTGCTAGGCTCTGTGCTGCCAGCCTCAGGCTTTCCCCCTTGGTCTTATACCAGGGGTTGCCCCCCAAAACTCCAGAAATCTCAAAGACACCTAACTCCTGCTGAAGTTTCTGGGGCCAGAACCAAGATGCCCATTGGATGGCATGTGAACAGAGGTGGCAGAAAGCACTGTGCTTCTATCCTCCAAGCCTCAGAAATCAAGCCATCATCCAGGCAGTAAAGCAGCAAGGATGTGGGTTGGGCAACAAGTAGGATTTCTTAACTGCCAACAGGTCTGAAAAGAAGTGGGGGTCACATTTTCCTTCCTAATATGTGTTAGATACATTCCTAACCCATGGTGTCGCACCAGTTCATTAGGGTTAGAAAAGACACTTTAGGAATGGAGGAAGGAGGAAGAAAAGCAAGCTCACCAGAGGCCTGCAGTTGAGGGTTGGGGCAGTTATACGAGGGTCTTATACTTGGCTTTGGATGAGTACGTGAGGAAGGGCACCCAGCACTGAGATGTGCTGCAGGAGCTCAGGGATTTTTGTCTGAGAATGGGGCAAAAGTGTGGGTGTGTACAGTCTGTGCTGGGGAAAATTGAGATGGGAGAGGGCCCATGTACACGTGAAGGGGTGTTCTGCTCACCCTACAGTATTGCTTGGATGAGAGCACTCTGCCCATTGCCTTAGGCTCCATAGGCACCTGAACTCTGAAGGAGGGGTGAGAGACTGAGGCTCTGTAAAGCCAGGCAAATCTACCCAGCCCCTGAGGTCTGCAGCCTTTTCTGATGGGCATTCCTATTTCTCCCTCCTCTCTCTTTGTCTCACTTTTCTTTCTCTTCCTGCCTCTCCCCAGCCTCCCAGCTCTAACCTGATACTCCTTCAAAGCAGGAGCTGGGGTCCAGAAGTGCTCAATTCCCCTCTTCTCAGCCTCCAGGACATCTCCGTCCTGTCCTGGGTGGCAGGCAGGGAGTACAAGAGTACAGAGGTTAGGTTCTTTGGATGATACTATCTTCCTATTTTCTTTTCCCTTGAGATTCTTCTGACCCCCTTGAGCCCCATCCCCAACCCCAGGTGAATCAGGTGCTGCAAACTCTTTATGATGTGGAGAAGCAGGCAGTTTGTGGGGTCTCTCCCTCCCTCCTGCGGCCCCGGTTTTAGTGTTTCTCTAACTTTGGTCTCTACTTCTAGGGATGCTGGGAAGGCCAGGGAGGTCACAGCACAAGGTAGCCAGTGTTCCTGGGTGAGCTAGAGGACAGACTCTTTTAATGAATGGAAGTCACATGAGCAGACTGGGTTAATGAGTGCATTGGAGCTTTGAGCAAAGATCAGGAACAGTGACTGAGAGGAAGGTGAGGTGGATGGAATGAAGAGCAGGTGCTTAGAGAAGAGTTGGTGAGGTTTTCGGTTCGCAGCTTTTCTCAAAGGCCCGGAAGGAGATGGTCTCGGAGGATTGTATTTGGAAGGCCCCAAATGCACAAGAGAAACTAGTGCATTCATCGATTGGTCAAGTTGGGGGTAGGCTGTGTTTGTGGCCATGAAGGTGTCACTGGATCAACTGAAGGATTTCTGGGAGGCTGGGATTCTGTGGAAGGTCCTAGTACAAACTCCTTTGTCCTGTGAATTTCTTTCCCACTCTGTCCAGGCTGCAAGATTAAGGCTCTGAGGGCCAAGACCAACACCTACATCAAGACACCAGTGCGAGGTGAGGAGCCGGTGTTCATGGTGACTGGGAGGCGGGAAGACGTGGCCACAGCCCGGCGGGAGATCATCTCGGCAGCTGAGCACTTCTCCATGATAAGAGCCTCACGCAACAAGTCTGGCGCCGCCTTTGGCGTGGCCCCTGCTCTGCCAGGCCAAGTGACCATCCGTGTACGAGTGCCCTACCGCGTGGTGGGTCTGGTGGTTGGCCCCAAGGGAGCGACCATCAAACGCATCCAGCAGCAGACCAACACATACATCATCACTCCCAGCCGGGACCGGGACCCGGTGTTTGAGATCACCGGCGCCCCGGGCAACGTGGAGCGTGCGCGGGAGGAGATCGAGACGCACATCGCCGTTCGCACCGGCAAGATTCTTGAGTACAACAGCGACGGCGACTTCCTGGCTGGCAGCCCCGACGCTGCCCTGGACAGCCGCTATTCAGATGCCTGGCGGGTGCATGCTCCAGGCTGTAAGCCGCTCTCCACCTTCAGGCAGAACAGCCTGGGCTGCATAGGCGAGTGCGGCGTGGACTCGGCCTTTGAGGCCCCGCGCCTGGGCGAGCAGGGCGGGGACTTCGGCTACGGCGGATATCTGTTTCCGGGCTACGGTGTGGGCAAGCAGGACGTGTACTATGGCGTGGCGGAGACAAGCCCCCCGCTGTGGGCGGGCCAGGAGAACGCCACTCCCACCTCGGTGCTCTTCTCTGCCTCCTCCTCCTCTTCTTCAGCCAAGGCACGCACTGGCCCCCCAGGCGCGCATCGCTCTCCTGCCACCTCTGCGGGGCCAGAGCAGCTGGCCGGGCTCCCTCGGAGGCCTCCCGGAGAGCCACTGCAGGGTTTCTCTAAACTGGGGGCCGGAGGGCTGCGGAGCCCCGGCGGTGGGCGGGACTGCATGGTGTGCTTTGAAAGCGAAGTGACAGCAGCCCTGGTGCCCTGTGGACACAACCTTTTCTGCATGGAGTGTGCAGTACGCATCTGCGAGAGGACGGACCCAGAGTGTCCTGTCTGCCACATCACCGCCACACAAGCCATCCGAATATTTTCCTAAGCTCCATGTCCCTGGTCTCCTGAGCCCGCTCCCTAGGGTGCCGCCCTGGACCTGTAGGGCTTTTTGAAAAATCAGTGACTTACAGGGCAAGGTGCTTGGAAATATTCACTCGCTGGGGTAGGGAAGGGGAGGCCTAAGTAGCTGGGGGCGGGGCCACTTTCCGAGCCTCCGGTTACTCTTTGGGAGGGGCCATAAGTTTTACTAGAGTTACAACTCTGATACCTCAACACACCCTTAAATCTGGAAGCAGCTAAGAAAAGCTTTTGTTTAGCCTGAAGTGGCCACCAGGACATCCATCCTGACCTTTCCCTTCTCCCTATCCATGTGTCATTTTGCCCCTTCTCTGGAGGGGCAGTAGAGGGAGAATTGCTATCTGTAGCTAGAGGTGCTTGTAGTGTCCCCGGCCTCTGCTCCTGATCTCCTAACATGACCCTTCCCCCCTCCCCCACACATACTCATATCCTGAGTTCCCAACAGCATAAGGAGATGGGGGACTATTAAAGACCTGGGTAGATCTTCTGGGTGGAGGAGGATGTCAATAAAGGGCTCACAACTTACCTGTCTTACAAAGCTGGGCTAGAGAGATCTGGAAAGAGGGGCTTCTCTTTCCCCTCCAACTTCTTGCTTGGCTTTTCCACAGTTTTTTCCCACTGGATCTGCCCTTTGCGGTTTTTTTCCTATTTCTTCGATTTCCCCTCTCCCTCCACCCCCAGCCAGCTGTTACTTTCAGTCCCTTGTTCCTCTTGCCTCTTCTAGCCCAGCTTTGGGGATATCATCTTCCTGGGAGAGAAGTCTGCAGAAGGTTCTGATAGCCCCCACCCCCAGTACCTCTTCATGTAGTGGACAACCCTTTCCCCACTCCTCCAAAGAATCAGTTCCAATTCTTGATGGAATGTAGTTCTAGCCTCAGTGACAGTTTGAGATGGGACACTAATAATGGGGCACATAGCCGAAACTAATATGGGGGTGCATAAAAGGTTGGAACCCCACCTTTATCATCTATGGGCATTATAATTAGGGAACAGTACTTACCCTGGATTTTTCTGCCCAAGGGAAGGGAAAGTAAAAAGTAGAAGTCCTGGGGCAAGAGAGATGTGGCTGGAAGGGTTCCCCTCCCTCCCCCTCACCTGCAGTGGCCTACCCCTGACCTCTCTGCACCTAGCTAAACCATTATTGAATCCTAATTAGCCACAAATCATGAATTCTCTGTCTTACCCACTAGCTGAGGAGAGAGGCCAGATCTTTGGTGAGGGGTCAGGCGGGGCAAAGCAGGATTGGGGAGCAGTGGAGCCTGTTACAAGAATCAGGTATTGTGATAGGTCTAGCACCCCTTAACTGCTCTTCTTGCTCACTTGTGTCTGTCAGCAGCTTCCTACCTTCCTGGTTCCGCTGGCCGGGCCAGGAGAGGATGGGTGAGCAGGAGGCCCAGGAGATGCTTGTATATAGTTGGGTGGGGCTGTTCTGAGCTGTCGCTCAGGAGCCCCACTCTTCCTGGATGGGGAAAGGACGTGGGACGAGGGCAGAGGGAGGTCTCTCTCTCTTTTGCCTCTTGTGAATTAACTTGCCTCTCCTCAGCCTTCCCCTCCAGACCACCAGCCTGGGAGGGGAGAGGAAGGAGGTCACAGCCCAGAAAACTGGCCTGTGGCAGCTTCCCTCCTTTCCACCAATGTGAGCCATCTTGAGATGTCTGTACAATAGAAACCAAACCAAATGGGCACCCTGGGTTGCCCAGGGGCAGGGGACGGGAGGGGGGTGGGAAGAAGGGATGTCTGTCTGTCAATCCCCTCCCCCTCTCCACTCCTTACCCACAAAGGCAAAAGACTGTTACACTAGGGGCTCCACAGATCCAATCCCACCCTTGCTGAGTGAGCCTTTCCTAGAAACAAGCGCAAAAGTGAGCTAGTGGCAAAACAAAGCAATGGGGGAGTGAGATGGGTGACCAACAGAGGAGAGGAGACAAAATAGCAAAAAAAGAAAAAAAGCAGTTCTTTATAATTTAATATTCTATTTTAATAAAGGCATTTATTACCGTATAAATGTAGCAAAGAACCTGGGCTAATATGAAAAAAAAAGACTTTTTATTAGGTAATTTATTATATGAAAAGGATATTTTATTTTATGATAAAGTGATCCTTAAAAAAACTTTAGAAGGTTTAGAATATATGTAGGGAGAGAAGAAAAAAATACATTTGTATTCAGAGTTAAATCTTAAAAAAAGTTTTTAATATATGTTCGGGTTTATGTTCTTTTTTTTCCCCCACTTTTTTTTGGGGAGAAATGTCATTTGCTTTTCTTGGGGGAGCATCCTGGGATGGATGGTGGAGAGGGAATGGGGAGTTGGTCCCTTCTGGGGCCCCCACCAGGAGATTGGATTCCACTTTGTGGGCTCCCCTCCCCCTCCCCCTCGGAGGAGCCGGCAGAGCCAAACAAAGGAAGGGATTAACCAGAAAGGAAGAAGCTTTGGGACTAAGGACTGAGGGCCCTGGAGTGTCCCTCCTTTCCCTACTCTGTGCCAGGGGCAGTCAGGAGGGAAAAGCCAGAACTGAGGCCTAACAGGCCTACTGAAACCCTCAGAGGTGTGAGATTTAAGAGAAATAGATTTTTTTTTAACCAAAAAGTTTAAAAAAAAATGAGAAGAGAAAGAAAAACCGAGGGGTTTAAAAGAAGAGAATACTACAAAATAATTCAAATTTATTTCATATAATCCTAGAGAAAGAAAAAGAATTACTAGTTACTTAGTAGACGATACTCAGATAGCTTAAAGTTTAGTAGCATTGTGGGCCCCTGAGCCCAGTAGAATGTATAAAAGTATGGGGGAAAAAAGAATAGAGGCCAGTGGCTGAGCCGCCCTGCCCCTGAGGACAGGGCTAGAGCAGGCTGCTAGCTGAGATTGGGAGCTTCCAGTCTGCTGGGGTTGATTCTGAGAATCCTTAGGTTTAAGTGTGGGACAAGTACACGAGGGGCTCTGGTCTTTGCAAGGGTACACACTGGTCATCGGAAGCTCGGTGAGGCTGGGCTGAGAGCCTGGCCATCGTTAAGAAACCCCTACTCCCTAATGTCCAGCCCTCCCGAGGCAGCTTCTCCCAGGCCACCCTGAGGAAGTCCTTGAAATCCCCTCGGTCCACTTTGCTACAGGTGGGTTCAGGAGCCAGGTGGCGCTATTCCTTGAATGAGCCAGCAGCTGCTTGTCAGTTCAGACTCCAGCACCCCAGCAGTGTGGGAGTGGCACCGCAGTTCCTAGCGCTGATTTCCTTCACATCGGTAGTGGGTTTTTTGTTCATTTGTTGTTTTTGACACAGGGTCTCTAGCTCAGTCTGGCCTTAAACTAGCAGCCATCTTCTTGCTGCCTCCAGTTGTTGGGACTACAAGGTTTGCACCACTATTCCTGGCTTTGTGGAGTCTCGGAGAAGTTAACATCCCAATAAAGACTTCCTACTCAGGAAGTAGAGTGCAAGTATTGTCCTTATGGGCCTAGGAGAACTCCCCCACCCTGCCCCCAAGAACAGAGATAAAATTGTGCAGGGAACTTGGGTGGCCCCTGCAACCCTTGTGTCCCAGCTCCCCTCTGTGTTCAGATACGGATTACCCATAGGGCCACATCACATCACCTTCCCCACAGAAAGGCGGAAGCCTGGCTTTTGCATGTGAGAAATAGGCATTTTTTTAAGCACTTGCCTTCCATCAGTCCCAGCTAGCAATCAGATCAGGATTGGGAGAGGCCTCTTGGCTTTAGTTTGAGCAAACAGTATACCAGTGATTGACATGCCACTTCATGACCCTAGAGCCCAAACACATCTCCCTCTCCCCAATTTACTCTTCTCACCCCATCTAGAAACTAGAAGTCCCCTGCCCTTTTTGCCCTAGGACCCTCAGTAGTTGGAGATGGTAGCATCTGGGAACGAGGAGAATTTCCTCTAGTATACCTGAGGGTGAGCACTTGGAGGGCCAAGTGGTTGGGTGGGGACAGCCCTGGGGCAGGGCAGACGGTCTCTCCACTGTAGAAAGTAGAGTAGGATCGTGGTCAGACTTAATTTGAGGCATCAAGTGACTCGTACAAATCACCAAGGAAGATTTCAAATGCAAAGTAAAGGTGGGAAATAAAACAGACCCATGAATAATCAAGTCAAAGTGATGTTGCACACAACGCAGAGAAACCAAGAAGGGGGAGGGTTAATGTATTAAATGTGCTATTGAGAAGTTAATTTTATTAAAAGTATTATTACTTAAGGCTCTGTCTTTCACTGTCTGCCGGCTGGATCTTGGGTAGCAGTTGCTGTGGGGTGGTACTGTTCTGGTGTGGGAAGTGGATATCTCCAGGGTTGCCTACCATCATCCCTTACTTGGACAGCCATCCTTTGGCACTCTGAGAAATGATGCTGAAAGACAAAAATCTGCCCCCTGCGCTTTCAATTTCAGTTCCTCCCGTTTAGGGACAGGAAAGACTAGATAGGGTGTTTACCTCTCAGTCTTAGGAACCCCTCCGCAGTGCACATACCAGGCTGGTATCTTCCCTGGTGCCCCTGGCATTGGAGTGACCTCAGTTCTTGGCATCAGGGCTTTGGGTACCAGATGGTGCTGGAGGATGGTTTCTTTTGTTTTGCCTTCCAAATACCCCTCCCCTCCACACAATCTTCCATCCCCCACCTGGCCTAGAGGTTGGAAGAGGGATAGATAGGCAATTCCTGCCCCCCTTGGCACAGTCCCCAGACCATGGAACTCCAGAAGCAGGCCCTGGGGGGCGGGGTGTCTGTGGATTTGGTAGGGATAACAGAAAAGGATGGAGAAGGGGATCAGGGACTCAGAGGAGGAGTCAAAGTTGTAAGGGCAGCATAGACAACCCAACGAGGGACAGATGGGAAGCAGCAGGGTGGCCAGGCATGATACAAAACAGCTTTATTTGCGGGCCCTCGACTGTAAGGGGTCCAGGTGACGGAGAGGGAAGTGGTGGACAGATCATGTGGTAGAGCCTGATGACCCTGGGTGCTTGTGAACAGGGACTCAAGGGTAGGAAGAAGTCCTGCAGTAAGGGTGGTAGAGGTACCCGAAGGCTGAAGGCAGGACACAGGGTTGGCCAAAGCTGAAGTCAGAGGCTGATGCAACAGGCCC